AAGATATCATATTTCAGGATACTGAAAGTCATAGGTCTAGGAAAGCCAATAGCACACTCCCATTAACCATTCCCTGGGGTAAGGTACTTTCATCCTAAAACTAAATTGCGGGGTTAATTAATGTGAAGATATAACTACTGTAGATAGCAAAAAGGGGTGGGGGGGTTTGAACATAACAGCTGTACCTATGCACAAAAGTTATTTCCATTTAGGATTCAGTATCCCAGAGTTGTATCCTGTAATGTATACTGTGCAGCCAGATCAGTGACCCTTCTCTGCTTTCTGCAAAGAAGCTTTACCACATCTAAGACTAGATGTGTCTTGACCACACAAAGCTTTAGAAGTACACATTGTAATTAAATTATAATTTATTTTGACAAAAAAATAATATTTGCTTGTAACATTTTTGCAATAGTAAGCAACAGTACCTAAGAATAATTGCCATGGCTAAAGTTAATTCTAATGATATGGAAAATTCTGATTTTCTGCAGCTATAAATCAATGGTATAATGGTTTGCTGGAAAGAGCCAAATGTGAAGAGACGTCACACATCAGAGTCTAAACAAACTCTCATGTTATGAAAAATTAGGTTTTCATTTGGGAGAATGCATGCAGAGCACTCTTCTGGAAGGAACAGCAGTGCCATTTATTTCTGGCTGCACCCATTCTCCTTCTAGTTGTAGTTTTGCATTTTATACATTTATAGATAACCAACTTCCAGAATACATTTTGATTTAAGGTCTCCTATGTGATGGCTTTGTCTCGCTCATTCATTTTGCTTATTGATAATATAAGATCTAAGACATTGTAGCATAACTGTAGCAGCTTTATCTAACCTTTTTGAGGGAGAAAGTTACTCAGGCAACTTCTGAATTTTCAAGTGTGCCTTGCTGGGTTTGAACCACACACACACAAAACTGCAACTGCAGCTTGAATGTGCAAAATTATTCCCCATATGTGCCACTGTGGGCTGTTTGATCTTGAAAATTAGGGTTTTTTAGGTGGTTGCCCATCCCAGCCTAGCATCATTGTTACTTTGAGTTAATTTCCTTAATTTTCTCAAAAGAATCTGGCAGTGCTTAACAAGTGCATACTTTCTACTAAAAAGGGAAAAACTGGCAGACCTCTTGGCTAGCAATGGTTACTAATATAAAAGAGTATTCAGAAAAGAAGCAAGAACTTTGGTTTAAAAGTAAAAGAGTGGGTGGAACAAAACAAAACAAAACAAAATTGTGAATACAAATAAAGGTCTGTCCTATGACTTCCAAAACGTCAGTCAACAGTAGAGGGACTATATCCTTTTCAATGTGTCCATGTTGGGAAACTGCTTACAAAGCAGTTAGGAAGGCAGTGCAGATTTTTTTTTAATAACTATTAAGAAACCCCTATATTATTTATTTACTTATTTTATACTGATAATTTTAATTTTATATTATTATGTTTGTAACTCAGTGTATTTTTGTATTTAATGGTAATTTATTATGTTCTATTGTATTTCAATGTATTTTATTGTGTTGTAAGCCGCCCCGAGGCTTCGGCAAGGGGCGGCATAGAAATGTTAAT